ATTTTAGTTTCCACTAGTCAGTTTACCTGTATTTTACCATGGGTCCTCTCAAAAGTTTTTATATATATATAAAAAATATAGATGTTATTAACATGTTTTTGTCCTTAAGATAACTTGATGCGCACATTTAATAAAATTGATCGAGAATTATGTGTTAATAAATATTAAAAATTTGTTAATTTTAATATAAGATTAATTCAAAAAAAGTATTAGATAAATATAGATAAAGATCTTTAATCTTGTTTTTTGAGCAATTCTTCAAGTTTTTTATCTAATTGTATGTCAAAATATTTTTTAGCTTTCAAAAGAAGAGCACTAATTTAAATTTCAACAAAACAAAATAACCTTATAGTATACATCCTCATTTTCTTATCATCATTTTTTTTAATATAGCATTTTGAGATACGGAGGAAATTAACAATTTTTTTTTAAAAAAAAAACTTTTAAAGGAATGAAATAAGAATAAAAAGGCATCTCTTTAATTAACCCTTTTGCTTTATCAGAATAATTATTTTTAAACAACAACTTATCAGAACCTAAAACCAAGTGTAAGTATAAATAAAATACTAAAGTTTTGATATTTTTTTATGCAAATATAAAAGAATAACATCCTTTTCATGTGTTGTAACGAAAAAACTTTTTGAAATCTATTTTTTAACTAATCATATGAATATAAAAAATACATTAGCATGCAATACAATGAATAAAATTATGAAACTAAATTGTATATTTGTTTTGTTGAAACCTACCTTTGTGATTCATGTAATTCTTTTTATAAAATCTTTTTCTATAAGAAGCGTAGCTCATTGAATAAAATGAAATATAATTTTGAAAAAAAAATATCATAATAATTGATTTTGATTAAACTTTAAGAAAAAAAGTTAAAAAAATAATCAATAAGGGATGTACAAAAACAATGCTTGCTAGTATAATTGACTATTCAAGTACGATACTATAAAAACGGATTTTAAAGGACACGACTGAAAACAGATTAAATTTTCTTTTAAAAAATAACAATGTATAAAAGACCGGTTGAAAAAAATTTAAAATTTCTTTAAAAAAATGAAACATTAAACCGATGACTCGTCGTCTCTCTCCAACCTTTAAAAAAAAAAAATTAAACAACACATCATCTGTGCATGGTAATCGATGGTGCATCTTTCCCAGTTATATCTCATGTGTTGAATGATTTTTTCACTCATCTAAATTTACACATAATTAATTAATGTGTTGTTGGCTTTTATTCAACCGTAGCGAGCGCAGACAACCTCCTCATTTGAGAACCTTTGGATCCTAGTTCGATGGATGTTTCATGTGGGCTGATAAATATAAAAATTGCAATTTAGATATGGTCTCCCAATTTTTTAGTTAATTATCATAATGTTACAAGGTGCATAATATTCTTATACTCAAGCCAATAACATTTTAAAATTATAATTACAATTCAAAAAAATATATATGAATAGTTCAATATTTTCATATTAAGCCCGCAACATTTTAAAATTACATTTAGAACTTAATTTTTTTTGCTAAGATGCTCAATATCTTAGTACTTAAGCCCATTTCATTTGTAATAGGAATCTTCCCTACCTTTTTCTCCACACAATCGGTGATGTCAATGAGAATGCACAAGTTGGCTTTATCATATTAATACCCTGCTAATTATGGATAAAAAATTTAAATATTTATACTTTATTTATTAGATTTCAGATATCAACATGAATATTATCATTATCTAAGTACTATATATATATATATATATGTATGCATATGTATATGTATGTATGTATGTATGTATGTATGTATGTATGTATGTATGTATGTATGTATGTATGTATGTATGTATGTATGTATGTATGTATGTATGTATGTATGTATGTATGTATGTATGTATGTATGTATGTATGTATGTATGTATGTATGTATGTATGTATGTATGTATGTATGTATGTATGATACAAATGTATAAATATTAGGTTGAGCTTGATACTATCTTGTTGTAACCCAATTTTTGTACATGTTTGAAAAATTTAGAAAAATATATCTTTTCAATAATTTTAAATCAATTCTTTATTTTTATTTAATTTGTCTGTCAAAAAAATCTTGAAAATTATAAAAAAATAAAACAAATACAAAAACAATTAAAAATACATATCTTGGGTTGAAAATTGACCAATACTTGAGTATCACATGCAAAAATTAAGTTTTGGAATTTTTAGGCCATAATTGAGGGCTTAATTGAAGAAGAAATTGATAGAGGACTTAATTTGATTTAATTTGGATGAGATTGAAAGAAATTCTAAATTCAAAGATGATTTTGAAATAAAGAGCCAAGGTAAAAAAAATCAATTAATAGCTTAATTGATGAAGAAAATTGAAGTTGAGAGTTATTTTGGCTTGAAAATAAAGAATTAAATTACCCATAACTGAAATGAATAAAGTAGAGAATTGAGAGGACATATTCTAAGTTCATTGTTTGTTTTTACCAACCTCCCTTTTCAGAGATGAGTGTTATTTTCAACATGTCATTTTGTTTTTATAAAAAACCAATGTAAAAATCTTGCAAAAGATAATTCTTTTTTATAAAGGACAACCAATTTTTTTTTTTGTTAAATATTCAAAATGACAAGTCTTCTTTTAAAAAGGAACAATGTCAAGATTCAATTTTTTTTAACTAATAGCCAAATCAACAAGTATCCTATTTTTAAGGATTGAAATCAAATTTTTCACAAAAAAATTATAAATTAAATTGCAAATAAACTAAAAATATTAGGATAATTGATGACAATAAAAAAGATAAATTTATAAAAAAAAACATATAATAAAATTAACTTTTCATAAGAAAAGCTACTTTAAGAGTGATGTTATTCTTTTTTAAAATATAAATAACCCCTTATCTAAATCTCTAAACTTGTGTAAATTCTAGAATCCTTAATTTTCTTTAATTATTAGACACAATATATATAATATATATTTTTTCCCTCGCTCTCAAGGGAGTCTTAACTGCGATGTCTACTGAAGTACGACATGCCTTTTTCATTAGTTATTAAAAAATGTAATTATATAAAATAAATACTTAGCAATTTTTCTCGGTTTGGATTAATATCCATTAAGTTTTGATAAAATTATAACCCCTATACACAATTCATGCAAGCACACCACCTCCCTTAATCTCCCTTACCTCAACCATTACCCATATCAGCCACCATATCTCCGACGCCAAAATCTCCTTGTTCATTTCTCTCTCTCTTTCTTTATGTTGTAAGTGGGTTTTTGTCTCTATTTTTTAAATTTCATGATTTAACTTAATATTTGCATGGATATTGACGAGGTTATTCTATAAGAAAAAATAAATAAATTAGGTTCCTCTTACTGTTTTTTGATGCATATGGCCATTAGCCATATAGGCTTTGATTTCTTCTTAATGATTGGATTCAATCTTGCAGAATTTCGCTTCTAGATACTGTTTGTTTGTTGAATGGTATGCTTTGATCCATGAGATGGGTGAGACTTCATAATTCATGTAAGTGGCCCACTTGGCCACCACCTAGATGGTTTGAATGGTATGCTTTGATCCGTGAGATGGGTGAGACTTCATAATTCATGTAAGTGGCAAAACTATATTTAGATATTATTTAATATTGTGGTAGTAGTTATTTTTTATATTTTAGGGTATTCTTGACCGAATAAAATTATAGACTTTTATGATTTTAGTTGTATTTTTTATATTTTAGGGTATTCTTGGCCGAATAAAATTAAAGACCTTCCAAAATAACTTTTTTTATTTGTATCAATTCATCAAATTGTAAAGGTTGTCTTAGTGTTGCATCATCGTTTACTCTTGGTGCTTTGATGTCAATAGTTTAGTCTTGGTTTCAAGAGTCTTTTGCATAAACTATGAATGCTTTTTTTTTTTAAAAAAAAAGAAGATAAGAACTAATATATCCAAATATTGAAACTTAAAAGGCAGGTTTTTTTTTTTTTAAAAAAAAGAAGATAAGAACTAATATATTCAAATATTGAAACTTAGAAGGCAGGATGCTTATTAAATGTCCATTTTTTGCACAAGGAACATTTAAATCGATGGCATGTTCACATCACATTAATCTTGAATTTTTCAGTTTAAAACCATAGAAAAGCCGTGATTTTAATGAGATTTTACGTGTTTTAATAACTAATTAGGTTTAGGTGAAGTTAAAATTAGTAATATAAAGTTTTTTATTATGATTTAGTTATGGAATTTGATTAGGATATTGTTTTTAATATGAAATTCTTAGTTATCCAACACAATAAGGAGGCATTCCGAAACATCGTCAACCTAACTCCTCTAGTCTTAATCGGTTGATACCATTTCTATACACTTGGGCCTTCTAAACAACATATCTACAGCCCTGGTCTTTGTTTTAATTGGGCCACTGATGTTTCAGCTCATAATATATAATCTCACACTCCACCAGCTCACTCCACCGCTCACTAGGAGTAAAACTTCTTTACCGACAAATTTTATGGTACTAAAATTATTAGTAGTAATTTTCTTGGTTCTTTTCTTGAATTTATTTTTAAAAATAAATAAATACAAATATGAAAGAAATTTTATTAATTTTAATGGGATATTGATTTTATTTTCTCTCTTTTTCTTGTATCTGTCTTCTTTTTTTAAAATAAATCTCATAAAATAACTAAAAGTGTACACAAATTACAAGCGCCATAAAATTTTCCCTACCCTACCTCTATTATTTTATTAATTCTTCTTATTTTAGCCTTTTTTTGTGACTTGTCGTTTATAATGGAACTCTGTCCGTAGGCTAATTTTTCTTTCTAATAAAAAAAATAATAGTGCGCAGAGATCTCGCAGTCTATAGTAAACGACATGTAGTTAGCTTTAAATTATTTAATCCATTCATGTTCGGATCCTAAACCACAAACCAAATAACAGGGTTGGATTTGTTCGGTCTTGCAAGGTAATTAATCAATCTCTCTGCTCTTTTGCGTTGTTGCTTAAACCCTAGACTATACACAGAATTTAATCATGGGTATTATAATTATGAATATAGGGGTTTTGATTTTTAAAGCATGGAGAATTTTGTGCCCCTTGTGGTAGAGAGTTTGGGAGTGAGACTGAGAGTTAGTATCATGGGAGGTTATAATTCACCTTAGAAGAAAATTATGCTCTTTAAGTTTCAATTGATGAATCTCTCTGTAATGGCATCTTCTTCATCTGTTCATGTTTATGCTACTGGGGAGATGATAAATACTAACTCTATATAGTTGTGTTAATCTTCTTCTCTTGTTCGTTGTTGGCAGTCGTGAGTGGTTAAGAGCATCCAATTATGGCGACAGTGAGTTCGGAATCTCTCCCAGAAACTCAGCCATCTGCCAATTCCACTGATTCTGATACTGCCCCTAAACCTCAAGTCATTTACCGCTGTAAAAGATGTAGAAGAATTGTTGCATCGGAGGAGAATATTGTCCCCCATGAGCGGGGAAAGGGAGAGCAATGCTTTAAATGGAACAAGAAAAGTGTTGACTCCAGCAAAAATCAAGAGCCACCCGAATGCTCTTCTATATTTGTAGAGCCCATGAAGTGGATGCTAACAGGCAAGTATACACTACAAATATCTGTCCTTTTTCTATTTCGCATCAATGTGCATGTGCCTTTTAAAAATGCTAACTCGGATCTTGAAATTGCCAGTACAAGAAGGTTTTGTGGGGGAGAAACTTCAGTGCATGGGCTGCAAAGCGCGCTTGGGTTCCTTCAATTGGGCAGGCATGCAATGCAACTGTGGAACTTGGATCAATCCTGCGTTTCTGCTTCACAAAAATAAATTAGATGAATGCCATATATGAGCAAGAGCTGTTATGGTTAAACGAGTAAGTTCTAGCAACCATCAAAGGCAGAGGTTGCACTTACGCTGTGCTTGGATGCCGAGAGAGACTTGCTTTATTAAATGCTTGCTACTTGTAGAAATGTACTAGAAATGGTGGTTCTAAATTTTAAATCTAGTATTTTCTGTGGATGCACTTTCGGCATAAATGCTGTTCACATGAAAAACTGAAGCAAGTGTTAGCCTGCATCCCTTCTTGGATGGTGATCCTTTTTCTCCGACTAGATTACATAAGATTTAACAAATAAGAGAAGAGAAACTAGAGTAAACAAAGATGAAATTAGTTGATCGGAAGGCAGTTGCAGGGTTATGAGCTAGCCTAACTGATTTTAATAGTTAGTAATTCGATTCTTTTTGGTCAACATTATTAGCTATTCCCTTGCTGTTTAAGTTTCTGGGCAAGATGTGGAGAGGGGTTTGAGTAAACACTGCATGATGTTCTACTTGGCTTGGGGCAATAACTTTGCTTGAAATGGCTTTTATGCATGATCTTTACAGTCATTAAATCTTCGCTATCTCAAGTTGCTAGCATACTTCTCTAATTTAGCTTGACATGTCCATTAGAGTGTGGTTTGAGTCATTCGGGTATAAACTCTGTAAACTGGACTTCAAATTTCGAAGTGCCGTCTACTGGTTGGCCAGCAAATCCAGTTGTAATCAATCTTCTTGATCAATATTCGACCAAAATTTTTTCAATCAGGTCCTTGCTTTCTTTCTTTTATTTAATGTTTATAATGTAACAAGTCACTATAACTGTAATCTTTATTATATTGAAAATTACACAATTAAGCATAGGAATGTAACGGGCATTTATATTATATTGCAATTTTGGTAATATTATTATTGTTATTATCAAATCCTTGATGAGCAAATTAATGCTAGATGGAGAAAGGAAACATGACAAGGCAACATGACAATGCAAAGCTACTACTGCATTTAAAATTTAAAGCATGTAGAAATATTGCGCGCGGCTAGATTGCCTGGTCTTGATCGGCAGAACTCTTGATGTAAATCACTGACCAGCACCAAATGCCTCAACTGGGAAAGTTTTGGTGATACCAGCGAGGCTCTTGAAGTGAATTTTTCCTGTTGGTGGGTCGTCAACGATAATCTGGCTAACTGGAGGCCAGAGCATGAGCTCCTTAGCTTTCACTCCTTTGAGTTTCTTGATGTTCTTTGTGCTGACATAACCAGTTATTTCAGTGTCGTAGCTTACGAGCTTGCTGATCATCTTGAAGTTGTGCTCGACCTTCTTCTTCTGCAGAATCCACATGTATCCAGTGCCCTTAACAAAACCAACTTCAACAACATCTGCAAGAGGGAGAAGTCCTAGAGGAAGTCCGAATTCCTCAAGAAGGGAAGCTGTCATTTTGAGCCCCTCTTCATGACCCGTTTTCACTATTGCTCCTTCCTTCTCGGCCATGGCTGCTGAATTTCCTAGCTTCACTGGTTATAACTAAGAGCTCACTCTGAGGCTAATTTTGATTTATAAGACTTAGTTTTAGGTGATCTGTTTTTATACACACACAGACACACATGCGCGCGCGCACACCAAATTATGACATCAATTGGACAAACTCAATGGAGAAAACAAAGAAACTACCCTTGTATTAACCACCAAAACTGGATCATTTCAAATGGATGTTCTCTGTGTCTTGTTTAAATGCTTCAACTGCAGCTATTTTAACATGTTTTATTTGGCGATATTGATCTGGACACCGGAAAAACAAAAATCATTTTCATATGCAATATCTATAACATCGCCAGCTTCTCTCTACAATAAAAGGTGTTTCCATGGCTTTTCGCTGCACTTCTAAACGTTAAACCATTTTCAAGAACAGGTTCCAAAAACCACTTGTGCAGCACGTACCTCCTCTCCTCTATTTTCTTCTTGTCTCTGAATGGGTATAGGTCCATGTTAAACAATGTCATCCTACTCTAGCAATGACAAATGATTTTTTAATTACTCTAGTATTTTTTTTCTTAATTACTCTTCTTATCGGTTCAATTACATTTCAATCTTTTTAATTAGGCTTTCAGAATAGAGCTCACAGAAGTTCACTCCTCATTCGAGAGAGTAAGCCCTCAAATTTATTGTCTATTGGGAGCTTGGGAAACAGAAACTAAAGTTGTCTGTCAAGCATTAAAATGGCATTCTTTGCAATACAAATACTTATAGGATTACTTATTGATTGAAATAAACTAAAATATTTCAGATTATAAAGAATACAAAAAACGCAACAACAAAAATCAAATGTTTATGTGTAAAATATTTTACTTTCTCAATGTATATTCAAGTTAATTAAATTATTAATTGTTCTTGATGTTTTAAATAAATATTACAAATTATATGACATCATTTAAAAGTTTTATAAAAAGGGCTTTAATTGAAAACAATAAAGATCCAAATGATGCACAAGCAACTCTTGTGCTGCCATATTTTATTTTATTTTAACAATTTATCAATATGTGTTGGTCTACAATTAAATAATTAACTTGTTTTTACCTTTTACTTGATCTTATGTATTATTGAAAAATATGTAATATACATTTTAAATCAAGACTTAAAAATGAGCTTTTGATTGATTAAATAAATAAATAATTAATAAACATGTTGTAAACAATTAATTTGCAATTTTGCTTCAAATATTTTGGTTAAAAACTCTTCTCTTAGTTTCTTTGTTTTTGTTTCAAGGATTTCTTAATTTTTTGTTTTATTTTTTTTTATGAGAACGGAAAAAATCCATTTCGTATTGTTAATTGTTAACTAATACTTATATGTCTCTTATAAATATGATAAGTGCACAGATACTATACCATCGGATAATTATATTCTAATAAGCGACTGTTTGGTATTGTTATATTTTTAAACGCAATAAATTTCAGTAATAAAAAATATAATGTTTGGTTAATATATGTTTTGCTTTGGAATTTAACTAATTGTCACTTTAGAAAGAAACCTTTTTTCTTTTGAAATAAAACAAAATAATCCTTATTTTTAATTAAAAGCACAACTACTTACTATATAATCTATTTCTCAATTAAATAATTTTTTTCATTAATTTATTTATAAATTACACATATTATTACAACAAAACCTAAAAGATGTGATGATTTCATTGTTCATCACCACCTCACAAAATATTATTAACTTCTACTTTGTTTTCCTTTTTTTATCTTTTTTTTTTTACTTATGTGATCGAACTTTTTAAAAAAAAAAATCATTTTTACATATTGTATTGATTGAAGATTGAGATTAATATATTTATTTTATAAGGTTACAGAAGATTGAGATTAATATATTTATTTTATTTTATTTTATAAGGTAAACAAATTTCACATTGGATTGATAATCAATTTTATAATAATAATAATAATAATAATAATAAAGAGAACAAAATTGACAATAAGGCAAAAATATAACATGGGATGGTAAGACCCAACTTAAGTAATACCAGTTGGAAAACCAGTTATGCTTTCAATAAGAACTAACTTAAAAATAAATGGGAAGGTACAAAAAAGGATTGAAGGATTTGGAAAAAATTGACATTCAAAACTAGTGTAAGATGGAATAGTAAACTAGAAACTATTAGTACTAGTGATGGGTAGTGAAAGAAAAACACTTAGGTTAGTTATTAATAACTTATTTATTTGAATTCATCTTTGTTTTATCTTGGTTCTTAGAGCCTCTTTAGCTTAGGTTAGTTATTAATAACTTATTTATATGAATTCATCTTTGTCTTATCTTGATTCTTAGAGCCTCTTTAGCAGTGTAGTTGCGGTTGTTTTTCAAATAACTTTTCGTGCTGAAATGCATGCCAATAATGTTTGTTCATTTTTAAAAAATTATTTTTGACATCAGCATATCAAAACGATACATAATATACAAAACATATTAAATTTTAGCAAAAAAAATTGATTTTTTTGGGAATGCGGTTTGGACCGCGTTCACAAACGGTGCCTTAAACTATTTAGCATGTTCCATGTGGTTTCTACATTTGATGTTTTCTATTTCTCTTATATAGAAAATCAAAGAGTCCACGATGTTGAGACATACTGACATCAAACCACCCATTTGCATTAAATTTGATAGAATATTTAGTAATGTTGTAGTAATTGGACATTATGCTTGCACTTTATTTTCTAGAACGTTATTTGATTATGATGTTGTGAATCAAGGCACTGAAGATGTTAATGGAGATCGGGAAGAAAATTTGAAGGAAAGGAAGTGATAATTCATAGAAGGATATTATTCTTAACTATACAGATTATGTCTGTAACTTGGTTGGTAGATTTATTATGGGAAACAATAATACTATAAATAGCATTAAAAAGAAAAAAAAAAGTAAGAGAACAAATTATAGTGAGCAAAGTAGAAAGAAAAGTAAATAACCTTTTGGATTTAGAGCTCAATTGCTTTCATGTTGTGGTCAACTATTTGATCGTGTTTCAACTAGGAATGAAAGTATAAATAAAATAGGGTGTAACACTAATGAGTGATGGCAAAGGTGCATTCCATACTTAGAATTATTTTTGGTAATGATTTATATTGTTTTGTTACTAAGTATTCGTCTATGAAAAATAAAAAAAAAGATATAAGTGTTAATTGAAAATATTGATAGGAAGTATCAATGGCTTTAAAACATATACTAGCAAAGTCCAAAGCACTAGATCGAGAGGTTTATATTGTTTTAATGATTATAGTTATTGTTGTGTCCTAAACAATTATCTCATGGTTTATCTTTTTTTTTTTTACTTTAACTTACCTTAATAGCAAGATGTTATAAAAGTTTTGTTGTGGTGTCTAATGATGTACATGTTTGGATTAACAGGACAACGACAAATCAATTTACATGATATACCTGCATATCCGTACAAATCACAAGTGCATATTGTAGTGGTATCAATGATATTACATATCTATATAAGGAGGAAGTCGCAATAAGATGTTGCATTTATAGAATATAATCACAATCCAAATTTTATTTTTAATGGTTTTTTAGTCGATATTGTTCTACTTTCTCAAAACCAAGGCAACCAAAAGCCTTCTCAAATGAATTAAGTCTGTGATGAGATAACAAATAATTTAATGGGATGATTAAAGAATAACAATAATGTAACATTTTTATTTTTTTTATGTATAACAAAAAGAACACACATGAATGATACTTACAAATTGAAAATTCATACATGTCTTTCTTGGTAATTTTATTACTAAAATCACTTACAAAAACTACTTAACTAAATACATATAAATTGTTTTTTGGACAACAATAATTTCAACCATATTTTTAACTAGACATATATTTTATTATATCGATCACAATAATTTTGATTTTATAAAATCTATTTTATACGAATCACAATCATATAACCCACCACTTTCTCAATCACTCCCTTGATATATTAGATAAGATGTTATTTAAAGTTTGTTTCTTAAATATATTATACTAAATTTAAAGTTTAAATTTCAAATAAATTGCTAACAAATGATAGGATTTATGTATTCTTTGTTAAGACTGAAAGGTCTATTTGAGATTGTGATAGCAGTTGTGGTTCAAAGTGTTTTTCATTTATAAATGCATCAAAATAATTTTTTTATTTTTTAAAAATTATTTTTGAGATTATTACATTAAAACAATCTAAAAACATAAAAAAAATTAATAAAAAAAATTAAATTAAAAAAAAAACATGATTTCAACCGTGTTCCCTAACACGACATCATCAACTTAAAACACGGCATCGTAAACTTCAAACCTTCATGTCGATAATAGGATTGGCCACAGTTTTAATTGTCAATAAATTGCTAACAATTTCAAATCATTTGAAATTCTCTTAATTACATCCGTTAATAAACTTTTAAAATTGTTGGAAAATAAAATTTAGTCTCGATTTTTTCCAAAAACATTTTCTATCGTCAAATTAAAATAAATGACATAATATTATTGCCACTAGAACTTTAATCAATGCTTTTACGGACCGTTGTAAAAAAAAAAAAAAAAACATCTAAAGTCTTTTTTAAATAATTTTCCACTTACTTATCATTTCGAATATAATATTTTAGAGTGGAACTTTGTTTCTCTCCACCAAAACCTCGATGACGTTAATTGCATTACGCCACATTATAGCATATCCATAGACGTGGGACTATGAAAATTGAATATCTATACGCCGTGCTTATTTATGGCCAAGTTGCTTCGGATAATTATATTTTTAATTTTCTTCTTCTTTTCCTTATATGTAGTTAAATTTTTAATCTTAAATATAAACATGCATGAAGCGCCAAATAAAGAACTATGAAAAAAGTTTCTGATGTCAAAGTGCTAACTCACAAGATATTTTCAATTGTTGTTGGAAAAGTACTGATACCAAATCCAATTAATATATGAATATAAAATTAAATGAGATATTGAGAATTGCTCACAGTAATTATAAGAAACTAGTTATATCATTCTGCCACTGGTCAGATAAAAAAAATATGAAGAAAAAATAATGTTAAAAAATAAGCATATTAATAGAAAGTAAAAAATCAATATTCAGTGAGAAAAAATAATGTCCAATAATAAATAAATAAAAAATAATACAACCCCATGTTAAGCTGTAAAATCCATTGCACAAGCTAGTTCATTGGAAGCTTTATATATAAAAAAACTATATATATATATATATATTTATAGATCAAATATTGAATAATAAAAAAAAATCAATCATGTAAAAGGATCTGAAAGAAAAAACAATAACTAAAAGTCAAAAAAAGATGCAATTTCACTTGGTTTAATCTACTAAACCCACGTGTTAGATCATGAGATTAAAATAACCTTATAAAAAGAAAAATAAAGAAAATCAAGAAGCTTATTCTTAAAAAAAAAATTCAATATTGAGTAATGAGATCGAAAAAAAACAAGCAAAAAAAAAATGATGTGAACTTGTGCTCTAAGTCATTTGATTCAAAATACCAAACCTAGAAAAATCATGAAATACAAATCTCAATAAATCAAATGTCAAATAATGAAATTAAAAAACAAAATTAGTTACAAAAAAATTATTCAAAATAATGTCAAATAATGAAATTAAAAAACAAAATCAGTTACAAAAAAATTATTCAAAAGAAAAAAAAAATATAATTAAAAGAATGAGAACCAAATTTTAGAAAAAATAAAGGATGAATGATTTTGAATTAAAAGGTTAAATTGAAAAGAAAAATCAATTTCAAAAAAGAATTAAAGAAGAAACAACTAAGAAGAATGAGGATCAAATCTTTTTTTAAAAAAAATCTTGATTAAAGGATGAAATTGAAAATAATTGAAAGTTTACAAGAGAGGTAAGAAACAAATGGAAAAAAAAGGAAAAGAAATCAGGATCAAATTTGAAAAATCTCGAAACAAAAATCATAGATTGAAGGATATAATTACAAAAGGCCAAGGATAAAAATTAAAAAATTAAAAAAATAAAGATTAATACTTAAATATACCTAATTAAGAGGATTGTTTTGAAATTTTACATGCCAAGTGAGGATCTTAATAGAGAAAATTAAGAGAGAGAAAAGAAAGAAAAAAATAGCTCTAGTGGTAATTTGTCAATCAAAACCTAACACGCGTTAGCCGGTGAGGAAAAGGACGCAATGAGAAATTGAATGATATGATTGAAGTCAGTTTTTAACCTTTCTGTGATGGCACTGTGTTATTGAAGCGATGTGGCTTCTCTAACTTACCTGACAAAGTTTTTTATATATATTTTTTTAATTATTATGAAAAACTAATTTACCCTTCAACCAACTTTATAATAACAAAAAAAAAAGTTCTACTTTAAAATACAAAAATGCATAGAAAGAAAGCTTAACTAAAATTTGAAACAAAGGTTATTTTAGTAAATTCAATATGCTAAAAAATATGAAATCTCAAAAAAACCCTAGAAACTATTTATCTAATTTTTTGCTTTTAAGGATAGTATTTTACTATTCTAAAAAAAAATCATTGTACCTTTAATAAAAACAAAAATAACAACACCGGGAAAATATCATTTTACCCTCGAGTTTTGCTTTTTAGGTTAATTTGATGAAGAGTAAAATCATTAATTCATTATTAAAATCCGTAATAATTTATGTTTAGTGTTATAATATTTTTCTCACTTCTTGTATTTTTTGTTAATAATTCATTCAATTATTAAGTTTAATATATTTTTTTATTTGAGAAAAGGGGATCCTATGACTAAGTTATGCGCTAACTAAAACAAAGTTTTTTCTCAAACAATTTTAAAGATATAAGTTTTGCACTAACTAAAAATAAGTATTTTTTAGGATAATTTTAAAGATATAATTCCAATATTAAATACATTCAAAAATTAAAAAAATAAAAACTATACTTGATATTCTAAATTGTCAATGATGAAAACTAACATTCCTATCCACAAGACTAACCCCTTAAAATCTTATAAAATCTTAAAGTATGAATTAGTAACCAACTTTAAGGTATTGTTTAGTTGTTATTTTGAAATTGAAAAGACAGAAACAATCTGTATGCCTTTTATTTTAAAAGTATATAAATTTACTTTAAATTTATTTTTTTTTTCATTTTTTTTATTTCAGTCAAACAAGTTTTTATCACTTTTATATACATATATTCATTATGTTATGAAAACACTAACCAAATACAGCCTAAAAAATAACTGTAAGTTAAAAAATGTTGGAAAAATAATTCCAAATCTAATAAATACATGACTATAAAATATATAAAAAAAATTAAGAATGGAACACCCATGTCATAAAGGTGTTTTTTTCAGACGAAACCAAAACCCACCCATTTTAAATTCTATATATGTTATGGATGATATGAACAACTTTTATGACCACTTTTGCTTTTCTCAAACCATTTTTGGTTCTTTAGGAGTTGATCTAATTAGAGCTTAATAAAGTCTTGTGGGAAAAAGTTATCTTGATTAACTTTTGGGATCCAGCATCATTAATTAAGTTCTCCAATATGATAAATTGGGATTTCTTTTTCGAGTTCCTTAATTTTCATAGTACATATGGGGCATAATAATTATTTATTTAGGAAAATAAAACAAGAAGAAAAGGCTTATAATTAGAGCAAAGCTTGCCCTTAAATAAAATTCAAGTGATGGATTAGAGTTGACCGTTGAGCTAGTGGTAAACTTTTTATGGGATATCTGTCCCCTTCGGCTGATCATAAAATAAATGGAAGGATACATGCCTAGAAGTTGCAATGAGTGATAATTTTAACAGACAGAAGAGTTTAAATACACTTCTGGTTGGATATATACGAGTGATAATTTTCAGGTTGCTATTATTTTTTCCTATCCGCGATAACCTCATCAGTTCTTAGGATGGAAAAAGGAAATTTTCTCTCTATATAATTATCACCTGCAAAAGGAAAATGGGTCAGAGCTACCACTTTAAGACAAAACTAAAAATAAAAATAAAGCAAACCTTGCTAATGAAGCACAATTAAGTAATTGATTAGAGCTGACCTAAGACTTCAAGACACTACGGTTGGATGGTTTCAAAGAAATTGCAGTAGGTGACGGATGAGTGCTGAGTTAGTTTATGACTGCAATACTTTACTATTACGACATTAAAACTTTTGTGTCTCTCCAAATAATATTTGTCAACTGAAAAGAAAAATGGTTCTGAGACAGACTTGGCCTCGAATCGTGATCCAGAGACGGCATCGGTTTGATAACAATATCCAACGAGGTCATTTTCAAGGAACTTGCCCACCATTTGCACCATCTTCAACGCTCTTTCGTCAACCATTGTTAATTAACTTCACACATGATCAGTTAATTATTGAGCTGTTAGCTTGCTTTCCTAGATCTTAATTGGACCTATAATTAAGGTGTTAATTAACAAACTAAATCATACACTCATTCGGCCTTACCCAACTATTTGGGTAAGCCAACTTCGGTTGGTTAACGTTTAAATTGCAATATAGATAGGTAGGGTCATTGATGCGCTGGAATTCGGCCATGTTCCAGCATACTTCTTCTTTTTTATGCACGCCCATTTTATACCCTACGCGGTCGCTTTGACAAAAAGATTCATGGATTCCAAGTAAAAACTTGAATGATATATAGTTAATTGATTAATTAAACGATATGATATTCCTCATGGTAGGTTCCATAGCCAATAAGAAACTAATTTGGAATACTTCATTAACAAGATGTGTATATATGTGTAGGAACTTTGATCTGAAATTCGTGTCAAAATGAATTTTATCTATACTTAAAAGGAACCTCAAACGTGCGAAAGATATGAAAGTAATATATTCTTGAATATTTCTTGTATCTTTGTTTGGCCTTAGCAAATTGTAAATGCCATCGATGGAGCTGCATCCTGACTCCTAAGCAGCTGCTATGCACTTTCTGCCGAATCTTTGTTCAAATTTTGTCGCTTAGAAGCAACTTGAAGAAAAGAAAAAAAGAAAAGGTCTGTGGGGGACTTCGTATATTATATTCTTTCTTATCCCTCTTCTAGTTCTATGCCTTGTATTAACTCCCAAGAAGAAACGAGTAAAATGAAACGTAAGCTGCTTCCTGCGCTCTATATATAACCCACTTCTCAATTCATTCTTCATATCCTCATAAATACAGTTCAACATTTAAAAACAACCAGAGTTCCTAGCTTATAAGATTTCTATTAAGCTCCCAAGATGACTGTAAGAAGTCTTTCTCAAGCTTTCTATCTCCTTCTCTTAGCACTTGCATGAAGCGTTCATAACTTTTTTAATTTCTACATGAAAAATGTTCTATAATGTTCTTGCTATGCGTCATTAATTTGCTACCTAGCTAACGGCTGTGTTCAGGTTTTGTAGTCCAGCCATTATAAACGTGTTCTTGCATCGAATAATTATTAGTATCACACAACCATAATTAAGCTAAGCTTGCTAAGAGTACTATTTACAATTAATATTCTAGCTAGCTCATCTCTAAAATCAAAATTAAATTCTAACTAGCATACAATATCATTAAAAGGGTTAACTATAACTCGTGTGTGCGTGTATCCATCTAGTATTTAATCTAGTATAGTATTTACTTCATTAAACTATATATATTCTCGTTCTAGTTCTTGTCAATTAGAAGCTGTGTTGATTTTGTAGCCAAGAAATTATTGATGTTAATTAGCATTAGAATCATATGCATGCTTACCAAAATAAACCCTTTGTTGCAATGTTTCAGATCACAGAGATGGAAGTCTATATGGATTGTGCTGGCTGCGAGAACAAGATAAGGAAGGCTATTCAAAAACTAGATGGTACGGCGCATTATATGTTACTTTCATTTCAAATATTTCTATTTTTTTCTCGTGTTTGTGTGTGAGAGACGTACGTACTGATGGTTAAACATCATTTTCGTTTTTTATCACAGGAGTGGATGATATCGATATAGACATGTATATGCAGAAAGTAACGGTTATGGGATGGGCAGACCAGAGAAAAGTTCTTAAAGCAGTGAGGAAGACAGGAAGAAGAGCTGAGCTATGGCCATACCCATACAATCCTGAATCCTATAACTTCAACCAACAGCACTATTATCAGCAGCAGCATGAAAAAGAAATAGTTACTTACTATGCAAACAAGCCTACCCCTTCATACAACTACGACAAGCATGGCTACAATGAACAAGAGTTTGGTTACTATCAAAAGCCAGCTTATGCCACCATTGTTGATGAAGAAGCTAGTGCCATCTTCAGTGATGAAAATCCTCATGCCTGCTCCATCATGTAATGGGGTGACTTAAGCAATATCTCTGGATTTTCTTTTCATCATTTTTGTATATAAGATGTATTTTGGCCGAGTTGACTGAAATTTTATGATATAAGCAAAGGTCGTTTGTAAATATATATTTGTAATTTAAAAGGTCTTTGGGTTGGGCTTAGAGTACTGTGGCCCCTTTTGGGTTTTTTGCGCTCCAAGAGGCTTTCGAGCAGGCTCTGATTATTTTTTCCCTATTGCTTACTAACTGAAAATACGAACTTCGTCGTCTCGTTGTTGGTACATGAGAAACTCTGAAACCATTTTTCATGTGTACATTTAAAATTAGAGTAGTAATGCTATGCACAATTAAGTCATGAAAAAACCTTAAATAAAAATTTAATTTTTCATGGTTGTGTAGAATGCTATTTAAGGGGATGTTGAGAAAGTGGTTGCTTTTTAAAGTATTTTTTATTAAAAAATATATCAAGATAATTTTATTTTTATTTTTTAAAATATATCTTTAATATTAACATATCAAAAAAATTAAAAAAATAAATTTAGCCAACTTTTGTTAGATCACAATCCCAAACATGGCTAAGTCCTTATATCATTACTCATAAATCAATGTTGAGATTTTTTTTTTGTATTTGAATTTATAGTACTTGTTGAAATTCTGATAAGTTTTCTTTCAAATTTCACTCTAGTTTATTCCATTTTATCTTTCAATCTAGCTTTATATAGTAGTTATCACCATATTATTTGCATTTCTTCTTATCAATGCAATATAAATAAATTGGATAAATGGAAAATAATTGTTCTAAAAGGAAAAAAAGTGAAAAATCTCAAATCAATCTCTCTCTCACTCGTAAAAACTCAACTATTACAAACTTGTGATGCAATATTTACCTATTATGATGCGGTAAATATCTTTACACCAATTTTAAATATTTTTTAGAACCCAAATTTTATTTTATTTTTTTCATGAAGAAGATGAAGTAGTTGTTGAAGATTCAATGTATTCAAGCCTATGCTTCTTTCCTCTTCTAGTTGAGATACGAACAGTGACCAATACCAAGACTCCTATTTCCTTTTGTATATTCCTTCTTGGTTGTTATAATTCAGAATCAATTTGTATTAGTCTGTTAGAATCCATTTGTAATAATAGGGATCTATTCATAAGGTTAAAAAATGACATAGTATAATTCTCATGTAAATAAAATTATTGCTGCTGCAATAGATATAGAGAGGCAAACATTATAAGTGATAAATTAATTGAAAATAGTGAATAAAGAAAACTAAATTTATCATGCTATCAGAGCCTAGTATCCTTTAAACACTATTGAATCCCTTTTTCCAAAGCTCTTTCTTCTTCTGTCTTTTAAAACCTTTTGTCCTTCTTAATCTCCTTCCACCCTTCTTGATACCATATTTTTGATACCTTCCTCTATTTTGTAGTCTTTCTCTCATTCTTGAATCTTGAATCATGATGAATAACAAAACAAAAGCCATACCTATTATTCACGTTCAAACCAAAAACTCTGGATTCACAACCAATGTTATTTCTAAAGTTAACTATGATGTATGGTCCTAGATTATAGAGATGCAAATTACAGGACGAGAGAAGCTTGAATATATTATGGGCAAAACACAACCCCCTGAAAATATTGATACCTCTTATGCAAAATGGTATGCTGAAAATCAAAAGGTCAAAGGATGGTTGTTAACTTTTATGTCACCAAATATTATGAAACAATGCATCCAACTACGCATAACATGTGAAATCTAGAATGCTTTATCCAAAGCTTTTTACAATAGAGCAGATGAATTACAACTTTTCTTACTAAATCAGAAAGCCTTCTCTTTGAAATACATGGGCCACCCCTTATTAATATACTATGGTGATCTTGTGGAAATCTTTCAAGAACTTGATCATCGTGATAGAATTATAATGAAAGATCGTAATGATGTCATTACCTATAGAAAATATGTTGAAAGGTTAAGGGTACATATTTTTTTTAATAGATTGGATGCTGAATTTGAACAAATTCAAGGATAGATTCTTAGAAAATATCCAATATTAGATCTTGAAAAGGCTTTATACACACGTATGTCATGATGCTGTTCGTAGAATCATTCTAAACAATAAAGTTGATCATGTTGAATCATTTGCGATGATAGCATGATGAGCTAAGCCTAGAACATACTAATCAACTAGTACATATCCTATCATTCGGACATCAAGACCTCATAATAATAGCTACGAAATGGGAAGGCCAAATTAGAATACATTTACACTCATTGTGGTGAAATTAGACACACAAAGCTAAAATGTTATAAACTAATTGGATATCCAGAATGGTGGGATCATGCCATAGCACTATGCAAACGAAACCAAAAATCAAACACTCATGCCTTAGCTGCTGTAGCAAAACACACCACCACATACACACCTCAAGATGACTTAGCTTTAGTCACAGCATCTAGCGTAGTAGCAGACCTTACATCCACCATCACACCTAAGGACAATTCAACATTAATCACAAAATCTGGTAAAGTCTTTCACACTTCCACTACTAGGAATAGTAATGAATGGATAATTGATTCTGGAGCTACTAATTATATGACCTTTGACAATCTATGCCTTCAATCCTTGAAACCTTCTGAACAATATATTATATCCACAGCAAATGGTACACCTTCTCATGTTATTGGAGAAGGTTCTATCATCCTTACTAAATAAAATGCACTTTTAAGTACTAATCATTGTCTTAACTCTTAATCACAATTTACTGTCAATGGCTCAAATAATCTCTACTCTATTAAGCCTTGATTCTGTATTGGTTGTCTTAACTCTTAATCATAATTTACTGTTAATGGCTCAAATAATCTATACTTTGTAATGTATTGTGATTTTTTGGCCTAACCTTTGTGTTTTTAAAGACATTTAAACTCATAAGACAATTGGCTATGGTACTGGATGAGGGAAACTCTATTATCTAGATTTAATGCCAACAAGCTCTCATCAGTTGGCTCAAGCATTCTTCGCGAATAAATTTGCAAACTCTGAGGTTTGATTGTGGCATAAACGTCTAGGTCACTCATCATTTGGATATTTAAAGAATTTTTTTCCAAAACTCTTTACTAAACTGTCTACCTCAAAATTTAAATGTGATGTATGTGAATTGGCTAAAAGCCATCAGGTTCCATTTCAAATAAGTATGAATAAAAGTCTAGCACCTTTTATGGTCATCCAGTTGAATGTTTGGGATCCAGCAAATACCTTATCTTTTAGTGATAAATGGTGGTTTATTTTCTTTATTAATGATCACACCCGTGTGACTTAGATTTGCTAAATGAAATCCAAGAGCAAAGTTAGTTCATTATTCAAACAATTTCACAAAATGATAGCCACACAATATCACTCTACAATACAGGTTCTATGTAGTGACAATGGTAGAGAATTTATTAATCAAGAATTGAAACAATATCTAGTTAGCCATGGGATTGCTTATTAAATTACCTGCCTTTACACCTTTTAGCAATATAAAGTTGTAAAGCGTAAAAACCACCACCTACTTGAAATTGTTTGGGCTTCCTTGTTTGAAGCTCATATACCAACTAGATACTAGGGTGAAGACATTACAGCAACAACATATCTCATCAGTCGATTACCATTAAGTACCTTACATTTTCAAACTTCATTAAATGTTCTTTATGAAGCCATAAAGTCACCTACTATGTCGAATTTACCACCAAAAGTCTTTAGATGTACAACATTTATTCATCTTCACAAACCATTAAGGAACAAGTTGGAACCTCGAGCCTCCTTAAATGTATATTTGTTGGTTATGCTCAACATCAAAAAGGTTACTATTATCACAAACTATACGTCACTCTTGATATCATATTTCATAAAGAAAAAATGTATTACTTTGCTCCTGAAATCTTAAGTCAAGAGGACAACCAAAGCAACTCACAGGCTTCCAAAGACAACTTGCATCACTTGGATATTACAAGTGAAAAGTATTACAATGATACACATGCACATGCTTCACGAGATACAAACAGTCAAGAGGTAATATAACTGGAACCACAACAAACTACTTACAATAATGAAGATCAGACAAAAGTAAGGCAACTAGAACCTCAGTCATCAGCTTCCCCCATTTATAATGTACCAATGGATCAATTGCTTTTCAAGTTCGAATCCATGTCTAAACCTTAGGTAAGTTCTAAAGCTCAACTTAAAATTCTACCCTATAGAACTACAAGAGGAAAACCCAGAATTGACTATGAATCACTTCTTTATGAACCACTTCTCACTTCTAAATCTTATTATCCTATAAGTAATTTCATGTCCTACCATGGACTGTTAAAGGAAGATAAAGCTTTTGTGGATCAATTATCTGATATATCTATTCTTAATAGTGTGTAGGAAGCTCTGAAAGATTTTAAGTGGAAAAAATCTATGAATGAAAAGAAATCCCTCTAAAAGAATTCAACATGGAAAATGGTTGACTTACCTATAGAAAAGGTACCGGTTGGATGCAAGTAGGTGTTTACCATTAAACACAAAATGGATGGTACCATTAAAAGATTTAAAGTAAGGCCGGTTGTCAAAGGATATACTTAAACTTATAGGATTGATTATATGAAGACTTTTGCAACAGTGGCTAAGATCAATGCTGTACAAATCCTAATATCTCTAGCTATGAATCCTGACTGACCCCTATACCAATTTAATGTAAAAAAATACATTCTTGCATGGGGACTTATAAGAAAAGGTATATATGAAATTACCTTCTAGATGTATTATGCAAACCTAAAGAAGCACACATGTATACAGATTAAGGAAATCTCTATACGATTGAAGCAATCCCCAAGAGCATGGTTTAGAAGGTTCACCATATTTATGAAATCTATTGGATACAAGCAAAGTAACTCAGATCATACCATTTTTCTTAAAAACTAATAAGAAAGCAATCATAGCTCTCATTACATTGATGATATGATAATAATTAGAAATAATCTTGAAGAGAAGAAAGCATTGTAGAATCACCTTGCCCAAGAATTTTGAGATGAAATCTCTTGGCCATTTAAAATACTTCATTGGCATTGAAGTATCAAGATCGAAAGAAGGAATATTTCTATCTTAATAAAAATATGCCTTGGATTTATTGAAAGAAACAAGTATGACAACATATAGC